TATAGTAAAAGAAAGGTCTGTCAGTTTGGAAAAAAACATGATAATTTAAAATTAGTCATAATTCTTTTTGTAAAATAATCAAACTTTAATAATTGACTCGTTCAGTATCACTTGTTTCAGTTCCATTTTGTAACTTTCCAGCTATTATGAGACAAATTTAAACAGAATCAGTGAATTGGGGCTTGAATGGACCAGTTGAACTTGAGATATGAACGTCACATTCAGTGCTAGTAGACAATTGACTCTTCCAATAAGTTTCAAATACATAAGTGGAGCAGTTGCATAACAAATATTTATTTTATTACAAGCTTAATAAGGATTCCACTCTATAACGCCTACAGCAGTCTGTATGCAAAAAATAATTCCACAGCTCGGTTTTTACTTTTAATGATGTGAAAGTGCTTTCATTCGTAAAGTAGGGTTTGTGTTCACTCCTCCAGTACCGTGTTACAGCTGTAGCTTAAAGGGAAAAATTGAACTTTGGAGGAGAGGATGATGTCTGTAACCTCCCCACATGACCATATGATGGTCCTGATTCTTTCATTTGTTTTTGCTCGACTTATCATGACTCAGTTTTATAGTTTGGATCCTGGTTTCTTGGATATCATGAACTAAGTTTGGCTTTTCTTGGGCTTCTTTTTCTGTTTCTGCACCTAGTTGAATCTGTTTTGCGTTCCTCCTCCTGTCGCACCTGCTCTGAATTTGTCATATTTTAATTGTTTTGGGCTGAACGCCGTGACGTCTTTGCACTTTCATAAGATGTACCATACAAATCTAAAAGACATACAGTGTAGTGTTGAAACAAAACCGTAAACCTCCAGCTTGAAGCGAATACAGGGAGTTTCCATTAGTCTTGTAAGAGTAGTGAAAGCTAACCACTAATGTGCAGTCTGCAGTTGCCAGCTAACTAAATATGCTGTGAACACCAGCAAAAATGATGCTTAACATTTTAATGTGGATTTGACGAAATTGATGTTCTCTGATGTTAAAAGAGTAAATCATTTACTACAGGCACGTCTGTGTGTGTGATTGGTGACTTTTGTCACATAGAATCAATGCTTTAAGTCTCTATGTCTTTTCTACATTAAGAGGTGCTGGTGTTTTATTCATTAATCGACTGCTTTTGATACGAGAACAATAGTGTGAATGTTTATGAAGAATTCACACTATTGTGATCCATTTTTCTTACATATGTTTTTCAGCTTCTTTCTCGTTCCACAATTTTTGTGCAATTTCAGCACATCATCAAAACGTTCACCTCGTCCAGGACAATCCTGCCATGACTTTTTTGGTTTTGGTGCAACTTTAGCTTTTTGAAATATTTAGCCTTTTGTGCCTTTTTTTTCTCCTAGGAAATGAATTGAGCTCATTTTACATTCTTCAAATATTTAGTAATCATTATCTTAATCTTTAATCTGTTTACAACCTTTTTCTGCTCCTTTCACATTTTGTTCTGGCTTAGCTTCTTTCAGCTTCCTTGTACAAATTTAAACTTTTTTTTCAGCTACTTTTAGCTGTTTTCAGCTGTTTTTTTATCCTTGTAGAATATTTCTGCTAACTATAATATTTTTGTGCTTCTTCAGACTTTTTTCTGCTAATTTCAGCTTGTTATACTCCTTTATGCAATTTTCAGCTTTTTTATTTAGCTGTTTTTATGCCAATTTTAGCTTTTTTGGCTAATTCCACATTTTGTGTACTCATTTAAACTTTTTTCAGCATAATTCCACAATAATGTTCTCTCTTCACTTCCTTCTGATAATTTAAGCTTTTTTTTCTGCCTTAATTTTTAAGCTAATTTCAGCTTTTTTCAGATAATTTCAATCTCTTTGTGCTCATTTCTGCTTCTTTAAGTCTAAATGGGCAAACATGTTCTTTCTGTTTTCTTGTGCTAATTTAAGCTTGTTCTACCTTTTCAGCTTCCTTTTTTGTAGCATATTTTAGCTAATTTCAGCTGCTTTCAGATAAATTCAAGTTTTTTGTACTAATTTCTTACTTTTAGCCTATTTGAATTATTTCTGCTAATTTCAATTTTTTTGTGCTCCTTTCAGCTTGTTTATAGTTTTAGTTATTTCAGCTACTATTTAGCTTTTTTATGCTAATTTTAGCTTTTCCAGCTAATTCCACATTTTTTGCAATTATTTCAACTTTTTTCAGCCTGATTCAGCAAAAATATTCTCTCACTACTTCCTTCTGGTAGTTTAAGCTTCTTTCTGCCTTTTCAGCTACTTTTCAGATATTTTTGCTAATTTCAGCTTTTTAAAAAAAAATTAATTTCCTAATTTTTGTGCTCATTTCTACTATTTAAACCTGTTTTAGCAAATATGTGCTCTTTCTGCTTTCTTCTGCTAATTTACGCTTGTTCTTCCATTTCAGCTACATTTAAGCATGTTTTTTTAACTGATTCCAGCTGTTTTTTTCAGCAAGTTCTTCTGCAATAAGCATTCACACTGCATTTTCACAGGAAATGCAGTTTCTCTAGTTGCACTTTTAGCTGTGTTTTTTACTGAACTGTTGATTGTTTGGATCATTAATGAGAACAGAAGAGGAATCAGAGCGAGTCTGACTCCAAAGACAGAAATAAGAAAGACGATGAGCTGCCCCCCAGCCTGTCACATCCAGTTGGACTAAGCCAGGGATGGTTTTAAGCATCGGTCTAAAGGCTGCAAACAGCCTTGGTGTGCTCGGCCAGCAGTGCTGCTGCCTGTGACATATACGAACACGTTAACAAGACGGCAGCAAAACAGGGACACTGTGCGATTACAGCTCTGAGGCACAAATACGATGACTCCTGCTGAAGTCAGCCTGCGCACACTTCATGTTATGGAAATGATTTGGGATTTCTGTGGCAGATTTTGTGTTGCAGATGCCTTGTATGGTAATTGCACAGAGAGATGGCCACTCCATTTGAGCTGCCTCCATATATGTTCATTTTCTTATTTAAGAAACAACGTTGGGGTTTGTTACCATCAGAGTGAAAGTAGATTATAGGCTTTGGTGACAGTGAAGTTGGAGTGATGAAACCAGGAATCTACATGTGTATGTTGCTTTTCTCAGGTTTGTAATTCTTGCCTACTTATTAAACCTGGTCCAGAAAAGGTGCCAACGTTGTGTTTTTAGCAGATAACATTCATCTCAAAAGACTCGTCTCACATCTCACCTGAAAAATTTTAGAAATAATTGTTCATTGGAAGCATTTCTTTTGTTCTATCCATTCTTTGTTTCCATATTGAAACTATTATTTTACTACTTTTTAATTTTTATGCTTTGTGTTATGCTATCATTTTTTATTTATCTCTTAACCCTTTTTAAACCACTTTCTCCTCTAATGACAGATATTTTATATTCCTTGTCCTCCTTAGTACATATAATAATAATAATAATAATCATAATAATGAACAATGTCAGAATAAAAGGACAGCACAGAAGACAACGTCCACATTCAGACACCATTTTTTTAAACTTACTTGAAACAGTAAAGATTAAATTAAAAAGCACCAGTTTTGTTGTGGGATATAGATGATAAGTTAGATTATATTTTCCTTCTAAAAGCTATACAGTACCTAAAAATGTATCTGACAAAGAAAACACTATTTGACAATTTGAAGCTTTTGCGTGCCCGTTTTGTTTTAATGGATCAGAAGGTTGCTGAGACATGACGTCATAAGTAAAGACAAAATATATAAAAAAAAAAGGCTTGATCTTAAGCTGTGTTGCTTAAACATGAATAAAATGTGTGTTGTCTTTGACCAACCACAAAACTTTATTTTTAACTGAAAATGTAAAATTCAGTAACAGTTCACAGCTGGATATGTCTCATATCAACCAGTTTGATGTTTCATCTGATAATACCAGATGACAAATACATTAAATAAAGGCTTTTTTTTTGTACCTCATATGACTCTCTTTTGGTAATAATAGCATCAATCCCACAATAATCCATAGCCAACATGAAGGAACTAAAGTTCATAATGTCACTGTGTTTGAAATAAAGGGATTACAATCACTGCAGGATTGTGGCATAAGAATACAACTATAATGTTATTTTTGGTTACATTTCCAGACACTGATTATTAGAATACCTGTGGCGAGTTCAGCATGTAACGTGTTGCTTATACTAATCCATATCGTGTATTTTGTTGACGTGCTCTAACATTTTGAACAGACAAAAATACATTTTCTCTGATAGAGAAGAAAGAATTCAGGGTGGTGTTTTTATTAGTAGCAAATGATCAGAATCCGAGATATGTTCGTACAGTCGTCCAAAAGATGGGCGGAGTGCACGTTGCTGCTACAGGAGCGCGGTCTCTTATTCTTTATCAGAACACTTTTTTATACAGAAAAAGGTAAAAGGCCATGAGGATGGATAGTGGTATTACACAAACGATCTCTTCACATCTTGTCCTATCAGGACACGATTTAAGACATAAAAAAACTCTACAAGAAAGCTCATTTATAAAAACATTACTTATGCATTTGACGTCAAGACGGTGAGATTTGTCCTTGAAGCACTTCCAGATAGGCCATAGTCCTGATAAACTGTACCAAGCTGTAACCAATTTGTTTTACAATTCAAATTTGAAGGAGTCCCCCTTCTAATGTTTCGTTGTAATGTTAAAAAATGTATTACTTTTGTGTTTTTGTCTTGCTAAAATTGCATATATTGTTTCTCACATATAGCAATCAGCCAAAAAGCAAATCAAACTAAACAACTGTTTTATTAATGTAAGCCGTTACTTGGGCCTGCGTACTTTTATTTGCTAAAACGTAAAGTTTTTGACTCTACATAGCATGGTTAAGATATTTCACAACAAAACAAACCTCTTATCTGTGTTTCTTTTTGCAGCGTCTATTGTCGAGTTACAGCTTTCTAGTAAAATAAAAAATCCGAGACGATCAGTTAGCGTGCATCCCAGTTCATGTCAGTGTTGCACTTGTAGGACGGACATATACTGTTTGAAGAGAAGCCTCGAAAACGTCTTCTCTGTGCTCATGTCTTCCAGTGTCCCAGTCCAACAGCAGCCTAAAGAAGCACCGGAGTCGGAGTATTTTCAGTCCCTTTTTTTGCTGCTTCCGCAACTACAATGACTACCATGTGGAGCCCCCGCCCGCCAACAACAAGGCACTTTCTTTGCCGCCTCCTCCAGAGGAGAATGGCAGTCCTCCTAAGGTAAACTTTGTTTTTTCTTTATTACATTTGGCCATGGTCCAAATTACCGTACATAGCATTCTCATCCAAAAGATCAATCGCAGCTTGTGGGAATTAGCTGAGATGTTCTGACATGAACCCTAATTTAACTGGAAATGCTCCTGTAGCGTTTGTTTGGTGTTGTTGCAAAAAAAAAAAAAAGGCTCAGCAGAGTTTGTCTTTTCCTGCTGCGAGCTCATGGCCGAGGTGCCGCACAGCCTCGCCGAGCTCCCGCCACAAATTCCTCCAGCTGCTTCAAACCCGTTGAACCCAGAGGTTGTTTACCAGCCGCAGCTCCAAAATACGGGCTCGTTTCCCGTTCTCACATTCTTCGACATCTGCCCACGCACGCAGCCGCGCGCAAAACAACACGTGGAGCACTGATGGCGCTGAGAAGCTTCGAGTGAAAACATGCACTTGCTCTCGCTGCGGCACATGAGTTTCACCATCGCAACACGTGTCCAGATGCTGAAACTGATGCTTCTCTAATCCCCATAAAGTGGGCCTTGTGTGCATCCGGTGTGTTGGACTGCTTACCCCCCCCCCCCCCTCCTCTGCTGTTCGTGTACACTCTGACCACTGTAGTAAGAATGTGTGAAGAGAACATTCTGGTTGTGGGAAGTGGCGCCAAACCCTGAAGCTCCTTCACAAACATACTGCTTTGTTGCCAAAAAGGCAAAAATGGAGCAAAATCATCCCATTTAGGCCTTTAAATGTCTCATTCAGGCAAAAAATCTGTGAGTTTTACAGACACAGATCTGCTCTGGAGCTTTATGTGACAAATAAGGTCCCGTTAATTCAAGAGGAACTTTGCAAACCGTGTTCACCCTGGTTCAGTGATGTTTCTAACAGCGTCTCTGTTAATAGTAGATGGCTTTTGTTACTATGGCAGCTCTGTTTGTTTCTGAATAAGTTGTTCTCTCTTTCTCCCAACATTTGCACTATGTGTCCCTCATCCTTGTGCATTAGTTGATTAAATATTGATTGTAGTTCTGGATAGGTCAAACAACAGATGGATTTGCTGTAGAAGACTTGATTAAAATGTATATTTGAACGACACGATTATATTGTAATTTTGCAGTGGACAGTCAATGAGCATATGTATTTTCAATAATTTGCTTCTCGGGAGATCTTCGCCAGAAAAATAGACTCATCTGAACCTTGCTGTGCGAGCGCTGAAGCTGTAATTCATTTAGCTATTTTGGAGTCCAATTTGATGCCTGTGGTTTACTGTAATTTAGAATATTCACACTCACAGCATCCCACATAGCAGCCAAGCTTTAAGCTACGCCACCCAGCAGACACCTCCCCTTCAAGAGCAGAAAATCCACAGGGTGGTGAGCTCGGCTCCTTGTGTTGTCCGTACGATCCAAACACAGACGTAAAAAGCTCTAGTTCAGCCGGGCAGGTCACGTCTGTTTCAGCAGGTATCATAAAACGGTGTTTAAATCAGTGTCTGAAAATAGTTTCCAGCAAGGGTCATTGGGTTCTTTGTTCAAATGAAAAAAAAAAGAAGCTGAAAGTAATACAGCATACCATGTGCACAAATAACCAAAACATAATATGCAGATTTCATTTTTATTATTTTTTATGTTGCAAAATATTTGACAACATGCCTAAATTAAATTTAAAATTAAAAACTATTTTACTATTATTATTTTGGAAAATAAATTCATAATTTTGAACTTAAAGCTAAAATGTTAAGAAAAAAAGTTGTAAAATTAAAATCAAAATGGCGACATTATAAGGGAATTTAAAAACCAAGCCAGCATGAGTACAAATACCTACAATTACCTTGGGTGAATAGTGAATTTATGCTTAAGAATAAGTTTTGAAATTGAGAAACAGGTTATGTTTTTAGCATGTTAACATGTGTTGAGATGTAACCGTGCTTTAAACAAATCAGTCTTTGCATTCAATGTTGTACACAACTTGTAATAAACGTTTCGAGTTTGCTTGTATATTTAGGCTGCATAACGGTTATAAATCAGAACAAATACTAAAGGGTTTTCTATAAAACTCAACTGCTCTCACGTCCTCTGGCACAACTTCTTCCTTGAGTTAATATTTTGATTTTTTTTTTTTTTGTTGTTGCAACATTTCAACAAACCTCAATGCTATGCAAACTAGAGAAATTGCATTTCTTGTGAAAATGAAGTGTGAATGCTTATTGCAGAAGAACTTGAAAAACAGCTGAAATTAACTAAAACATGCTGAAATGTAGCTGAAATGGAAGAACAATACTAAGTTAGCAGAAAAAAGCAGAAAGACCACATATTTGCTGAATTTGGTTTAAATAAGCAGAGATTAGCACAAAAATTAGTAAATTAGCTTTAAAAAAGATGAAATTAGCAAGAAATAGCTGAAAAGTAGCTGAAATGGCAGAAAGAAGCTTAAATTGCCAGATGGAAGTGGAGAAAGCACAATTGTTCCCAATTAGGATGAACAAAACTGAAATTAACCCCAAAAGTAGAAATGATCTGATAAAAGCAGCAATTTAAAAATATTTGAAAAAAAAACCCAACAACAAAAAAACTGCTGAATCGTAACTAAAGAAGCATAAATATGCTTAAATTACCAGAAGGAAATTGAGAGAGCACATTTTTGCTGAATTAGTCTGAAAAAAGTTTAAATGGGTGCAACAAGTGTGGAATTAGCTGAAAAAAATCCTAAAATTAGCATAAAAACAGCTAAATGGTAGCTGAAACAGCAGAAAATGCTGATGCAGAAATAAGCTGAAAGAAGCATAACAAGCTGACTGAAAATAGCATAAAGAAGTTAGAAGATGCACAAAAATGTTGCAGTTAGCAGAATCTGAAAGGAGCACAAAACTGCTGAAAAAACAGCTGAAATTAGCTGAAAGTAGCTGTAAAAAGTTTAAATTTGTACAAAGAAGCCTGAACAGAACACAATGTGAAAAGAGCAGTCAAAGGTGTAAACAGAAAGATTTGAAGGATGTAAAATGAGCTCAATTCTTTGTCTATGAGAAAAATGTGACAGAAAAGGCTAAATGTTTCAAAAAGCTAAAGTTGCACCAATACCAAAAGTCACAGCAGGCTTGTCCTGTAAGAGCTGAACGTTTTGATATATGAATTGTTGAAATAGCACAAAAATTTTGGAACAAGAAAGATGACGAAAAACATACGGAAGAAAAAAGGATCACAATAGTGTGAATGTTTCATAAGCGTTCACATAATAATCTCAAAACTGGACCAAAAAAAATCACCAATAACAACCAAAAAAAAACAAACATTTTCCCTAAATTAGAATAAATCATGATAAAAAAAAGGTCTGTCTGGGGACACACCTAAATTTCATTTTCACTTTTGAACTCTGAACAAATCAGTCTGCAGTGATTATTTCCTTCAACACGAAACACTCGATCCGTTTGAAGTTCCCCTCGACTGTAGTTTTAAGAAAAGGGTCATGTGAGCTGGTGCAAATGTCAAGGTCTTAGTAAGTCTTTCTTTACCTAAACTGCTCCTCTGGCAAGAGTAAATACCATCCATCAGAGAGCGACAGGGTGTCATTCGGTGTCCTTGCTCAAAGGGAATTCTTCCTGCAATACATCAGCGCGCAGCCCCGCGATAAGACATGATAAATACAGCCTGCCTTGGAAAAACACACGTAAACACAGAGACATGCAGGAAATGCCTGGCGTAACGAGCAGCAGCTCACTGGTGGGAATGTGTTTGTAGGATTGACAGAGTCCTTGATCCTCACCTCTGCGTACACTCGTGTGTGTGTACGTGTGCATGAATGTGGTGATGTAAGTGTGTGCCTCCTGTGGCTGGACCATCTGGCTCATGCCTGCATGTAACTTCAGGCGTGTTTCACAAAGGTCATGAGCGTTCCTTTTCCTCCAGACCCTGAAGGCTGCAGAGTCCCAGACCTCAGCCAGCATGAAGTGGTTGCTGTCAGTATTGGCAGGTGTTCAGAAAAGGGAGGAATAAACACCGTGGGGTTATCAGTTTATGTCATTTCAGCTGAAGAAAACATTTTTTAAAGCCGTGTGTGCTTTAAATAGACATCGAGGGTAAACAGTTTTTACTTCAAACTGGCTGCCAAGTAGAACAGTTTGGTCCAATATCTTACAAATCCCTGAAGAATGTTCATTTAGCTCTTCTATTTCATAATAAAAGCACGTGTCACAGACATGACACTAAATTGTTTTACATTTTTACAGCTGAACATCCTGTTTAGCAAGTAAAGACAACCAGCTCTCTAAAACCCCAACTCCAAAATTTCAAATTTCAGTAATTTTTTTTGGTTTAGTCATTAGAGTTATCGTAACTTTGCAGGTAAACTTTGAAATTTGTCTAATCTCCTTACGTTTGTCAAATGTGTATTTGTTGGGGTCAGAAAGAGCAAAGAGTAAACAGGGTTGAAGATGTTTTTTTTTTTTTTTCAGCTCAAACAACTCTAAGACAGCAGCAACAAAATACACAATTAAATTATGGATAAAAGACTAATAAATAAAACTCCTATTCCTGCCTTTATTGCTGTAAATCAACCTATATACACTCAAGCTGATCATATCCAACACCCAAAGTGAGCCCACAACAGCGTGATTGTGAAAGTGTGACAGCCAGGTGTATAGACAGTAAAATGTCTGTGTGTTTTCTCTGCAGCCTCCAGCCACGTTCCTCCTACCTGAGGTCAGTATAGCAGATTACGGCAAGAACTGTGTGGTGATCGACCTGGATGAAACCCTGGTTCACAGCTCCTTTAAGGTACTGCTGCAATTCAATCTGGACACTGTTTATTGCAGATAAAACCAGGAAACATAAAGCCTAAATTATCCAAAGACAAAACATTAAATGACTGAAATGTGTTTTCATAACTATATCCATAACTTCTAATGGCCTCTGACAACGCGCAGGTTTCTATACTGGTCCTGTTAGACCTCAGTGCTGCATTTGATAGTTGATCATAATATTCTATTACAGAGACTTGAATATGATATTGGAATTACAGGAACGACTCTAAATTGGTTTGAATCATAATTATCTGATAGATTCCAATGTGTAAATGTAAATAATGAATATTCATCATACACCAAAGTTAGTCATGGAGTTCCTCAAGGTTCAGTGCTTGGACCAATACTCTTTACCTTGTATATGCTTCCATTAGGTAATCAGCATGGGGTAAATTGTCATTGTTATGCTGATGATACACAGTCATATTTGTCCATGAAACCCAATGAATCCAATCAGCTACTTAGACTACAAGCATGTCTTAAAAACATAAAAACCTGGATGACCCTAACTTTTCTCCTTTTGAACACAGACAAGACTGAGGTTTTGGGTTTGGACTTGAGCATCTTAGGAATTAATTTTTCAGTCTTTCGTCCTCCTTAGATGGCATTAATCTGGCCTCCAGCTCTAATGTTAAAATTCTTGGTGTTATTTTTGATCAGGACATGTCTTTTAACCCCCACATTAAAAATGTTACTAGAACTGCCTTCTTCCACCTGCAAAATATCATTAAAATTAGAAACATCTTATGTAAAAATGATGCAAAAAAACCTGGTCCATGCATTTGTCACGTCTAGCCTGGACTATTGCAATGGTTTATTATCTGGATGTCCAAACACTTCTTTAAAAAGTCTTCAGTGAATCCAAAATGCTGCTGCCAGAGTCTTAACTGGAGAGGGAGTTTTTCCTTTCCACTGTCGCCTTCCTGCTTACTCAAGATGAGAGTTCTGCGATGGAGTTAAATTCAAAGCTGCTCCTCAGATAAATAATGTTAAATTATTATTTTTATATATGAATGTTTCTGTTCAGTGCCCTGAGGTGACCTGTTGTAACTTGGTGCTATATAAATAAACTGAATTGAATTGAAAATAGAAAGAGTAGAGGAACTAGTGTAGTTTACACAATTCACTTTTTATTTATTAATTGTGGCAAATGTAAGCTGACATGCCAATTCCAGTTTTTTCTTATTCTTTACCTCTAAGTTTTTATAATTTGCACTTTGTACGTCCGTAATTCAGCCCACATCACATTTCCTCCTTTCTTCGCTCAGCTGCAAATAAAACAGATTTAGAGATGGACGTTCACATTTATATCTGTGCAACCTTTATTATTAGATGCCTACGAACAGAAAAAATATTGATTTGCAGAAATGCATTCGGTGCAATGAAAAAGATTTACTGGAAAATTCTACAATCTTCTCATGCAAAGGAGACAGAATAATACAATTCTACAAACACTTATAGTTTTAGTTTTTACCAAGAGACTGAATTAATCTTTTACCATATGTTTTAAGATAAAAACCAGCCCAGTTATTATGTTTCTTCCAGTAATGTTCTTAAATCACGACTGCAAATTCAAGCTTTTGTCTGCACCTAAATATTTAGTAATTCTGTCAGTATAAATTTTTAGATAAGTGATTAAGGTTTTTATTGCACATTTTAAGCAGCTATAGACATAAAACAGATCCTAAAAATAAAAAATATAAACTTTAAGCCTCTTTTTTAAATGTAAATTTAATCTGGGTTGTTTTAATTTGACTAAAGCATAGCTTTTTTTTATTATTATTATCTTCGCTCATCTGTGTGGCACTGATAAAGACAATTACATATTTTTAGTGGATTATAAATCTTGCGTTGTGACCCACCAGGCCTTGGGTGGAGAATCAGACTGTCAAATATGATGCATAGATCCAATTTTTGTGAAATGTTTCAGCACCGCTGGGTAATCTTTTCCATTGAGAAGCTGTTTTCAAATCTTTTGACTAGTACTGGGTTTTATGACAGAAATGCACACTCTTTAAGTCTCAAAGGGTTTCTGGAAATTGTTTAACAGGTTTAAATTTGACATTACTCTGCATTTTGTTCTGTTATTATTCACAGAGCTCTGTTACAAACCCTTATAGGTAAAAATGCAGTTAAACAACCAATTTTACTCAAGACTTTATGACCTTATTTACGCCTGTCAGTGATATATCACCCCCAAGAAAGAGCAGCTGGAATTAGAAAATGACAAGTGTGCAATAAAATAGTTCGGGGAGGAAGATTAGTTTGTGTTCTTGCTTCATTCATGGGAAAGAGATACTTTTAATTAAAAAAAGGACTTTTTTTCATGTTGCAGAAAATGGAGTTTCTTCTTAGTTGTGGGAGCTGTAGAGAAATATGTGCACACCCTTTGTGCAGGTCATGCACCCCCCCCCCCCCCCCACACACACACACACACACACACACAAGGGTGTGTCCTGCACGCTGTGCTGTTGTTTTGACTGATTGTAACGTGAACTCCTCATATATTCTGGATGTTTGAGTAGTTGTTTTTTCTTTCTCATCTTCTTTTGTTGAAACAAGTCCGAGCCTCGCCACACATTTACCGTATTTTCTGCCGTATAAGTCGTTCCATCTTATAAGTCGCATCAGTCCAAAAATGTCTCATAAAGTAGAAAAAAAAAAAAACATAAATAAGTGGCTTTGCTGTATAAGTTACATTTATTTTTGCGTCACCGCTGACCCCCGGGAACTGTGGGCCGGTGTTGTGCCAAAAATTGATTGGCTGCCAAATGGTGGGCGCGTAAGTGCTCACGGGAGGACTCGCTGCTGCAGTTCTTCTAAATTTAACACTTAAAAACAATTGTTTGTTTGCTCGACATTATAGTAAAGGCTTGTCTCAATTTAACTTTTCCTTAATAAATGCACTTTAATGGTCAAAACAGCTTCGTTTCGCTTGGGTGGAGCAGTGAAATGAAGCTGCCCTGAAACTGTCCCTGCTCCGGGCGTCCTTATGGACGAAGGTTCGCGGCTCTACAGCCGGAGCTGGGAGGAAGGGGGCAGCGAGGGGCGTGATCCAAGATGGAAGGATGGATGATGAATTGATGGGTGGATGGATGGATGGATGGGTGACGCACCACCGCGGAGCCTTCCTCCCTGCCCCGGCAGTGGAGAAAGGCTGTAGAGCTCGCAGCCGGAAACACAATAGATGGATGGATTGATGGGTGGATGGATGGATGGATGGATGGATGGATGGATGAAAAAAACACAAATATGTCGTTTTGGCATATAAATCGCTAGAATGACAAATTTATGCAAAAACTGTGACTTATAAGGTGGAAAATACGGTAATCTATCAAATTTGTATCAGATCTGTGTGCAAGATGTGACGAATTCAGGAAGTACAACAACTGAAAATCAGCTGAGACAAGGAAACAGGACTTCCTCTGTTTGAAAGCAAATATGAATCAAAATATTAAGACTTTATTTAAAAAAAAATGCTGGAATCAGACTATAAGTGCAGAAAAAAACAACCAATAGGGAATGAGGATGATGCACAGATGGACAAAGACTAAAAAAGAAACATTACGTAAGATACCACACACTCTGTGCTTTAGCCTGCATGTTATGGATGAGGGGATAATTCCAGGGTTTATTCTGGGATTAGATCGTGTGTTGGATATGCCAAAGCAGCTGAATGCATAAGACTATTTACCTCATTAGGAATTGCGTTTATTTAGCTTTTTCTTACCTCTTAATGTGATGCTGACTCTTATAGTTTACATCCATTCATTAGTACCGAGCATCTCATTCTAGAATAACGCATCAATAATCAATATTAACAGCGTTCATTCTGTAGGGATTGCCTCTTACAGTGTGTTGCATTTATGAGGTCATAAGAGTTCACCTTAAAGATCCTGGATGGGTTGAAGTCAGTAATCTGTGATAGATTTTCATCATTTTTATAATGAAAATTACAACTTTTAGATCATCAAAGTTCATGCTCAATAATCCAGGTGAAAAATCTAACAAAGTTCAGTCAGGTCATCTGGATGGTTTATTTTTTGTTGAGAAGTTTCGTCCTTCATCCAAAGGACTTCATCAGTCCAAGGAGCTAAAGCAAACTCAGTCCCACAAACAGCACCCTCACATAGTGGGTCAGCCAGTTTACTGGTGATAAGATGGTTTCTGGGGCCCGCCCTCTTCCCCGTCGACTCTTCTGAGGCAGCCATAGCCAAAGTGGTTCAAAACCTTTTGGATGGATTTGTTTTGTTGGATTTGTTTACCTGGATTATTGAGCATGAACCGAAGGGGGAGAGGACGAGCCCCGGAAACTATCTGATCACCAGCAAATTGTTTGACCCACTATGTGAGTGTGATGCTTGTGAGACTCCATTTGTTGTAACTCCTCGGACTGATGAAGTCCTTTGGATGAAGGACAAAACATCTCACCAAAAAAAAAGAAATCATCCAGATACAACTTTTAGAATTTCAATTGTATTTTTCTTTTGTCTAGCATCAAGTGTTTAGATAAATCACCATTTAATGAAGGTGCTTCTCTTGCTATGATGGCTTTTATTTAATTATATTTTGCCACTTTTTAGACTAAAGATAGTTAAATGTACTCTCGCTAAGAATGTCTATGTATAAAATGAATGCATAGATAAATTGAAGAAAAACTCATACACACTTTAAAGCTTTAAAAGATGATTCATTGTGAACCAGCACATGTTTTGCAATAGGATTATTAGGTTGTTTATTAACTTCATTGTGGAACATGATTTAATTAAAAGGCCCCCAAATTAGTTACAATCTGATAAAAGCCCATATTTTTCTTTTTCTTGTGACCTTGTTTTGTACATGCAGAGTCATGATCGCACAGCAAAAGCAAGTTTGGTCTAAACTGCGTAGTGATGGAAAACACCCATGCTGTTCATGTAAAGTATCGCTTGAATCAATTCAGAGAGTGATCCGCGGATCAAACAGCTCCTGGAAAGTTCATCCTGTCACTCCCGTCAATCTCCACACTTGTTCTGTTAAAGAGCCAATCTTCATTCTCAGCAGTTACTCCATTCAGACTCATCTTTATCCCTCACGCACACGTTCACCTTTCATATGCCTCCATTTTTGTGTCCCATCATCGCTGATCCATCTCAGGGCTGCCATCAGTCCTCAGATGATGGAGCAATTCAGCAGAAGAGCACGGAGCGCAGGAGCCAAGACAAGTCTGCGCATCTTCCCTTCCATTTATGAGCCGGTTTTTCTTTATCTTTTTGACGGCAGGATGTAGATTACACTTTTTGTTCAAAACCTGCTTAGACAGATGTCTTGCTATAAACAGTTTAGATCAAATAGAGATGAACACTTTATTTATTTTCAGGCTTGAGTTTTAATGAATTCAAATTCTGCATAAAAAGACAAGACATTTAGAAAGTTGTGAATGTCCTATTAAATTAATAACTTCAGACTTTTACACCAAATATTTACAGGATGTGTGTTCTTTGCAACCCTGAAGCAAACACTCCCTCTGCTGGATGGCTCTACGAGGTTTCTCTTATCAATTCAGTTCAGTTTATTTATATAGCTCCAAGTCACAACAGAAGTTATCTCAGGGGAACAGAAACATTCATATATTTAACATTATTTATCTGAGGAGCAGACTGCTTTGAGTTTAACTTCATCACAGACTCTCATCTTGAGCAAGTATAAATGCAACAGTGGAAAGGAAAAACTCCCTCGTGAAGAAGAAACCTTTAGCAGAACGAGGTTCAAGACAAGCGGCCGTCTGCTTCGAATGGCTGGGCTTGAAAGGACAGGAAGGAGGAACGGATACACAATGGCAGGTTGAGAATCACATATTAAGATAGAAATAATTTCAAATGAAAACTATTTAATTGCAACAATTCATTTTAAGAAATGTGGTCACTGCAGTAGTCTAAGCCTATGGCAACATAACAAGCCAACCATAACTATAGGATTTATCCAGAGGGAAAGTCTTAAGCAGCGTCATGGACAGAAACTGGAAGTTGGTTCCACAAGAGAGGAGCCTGATAACTGAAAGATCTTCCTCCCATTCTGCTCTTGGAAACTCTAGGAACCGCAAGTAAAGTCTGCAGTCTGAGAGCGAAGTGCTCTGATAGGAAAATATGGAACATATTAAGATCTCAAAATTAGATGGAGCTAGGTTGTTGAGGGCTTTGTAGGTTAGAAGTAAGATTTTGAATTATATTCTGAATTAGTGACACTTACCTTGTTAACGAAACAATAAAACGTCATAGATTGGTTTATTAGAGCAGCTGCATCAGTGTTCATTAAAACATGTCAAAATTATATTATTGTGTATCGTATTATTTAATATTAATTAACTGAAACAGATTTTTTTTATTTTTTTTATTCTATTAAGACTTTTTCTTAACCCTGTATTTTTCTGTTCATGGTATTATCTAAATAAGTGACAGAAAAGCATTTATTCTCTTGTGGTTTTAAAAATTAGAAACCTTTTTTTCCTCTATCACCTATTTCTCTTTCTCTCCCATACCATAAATGACTATGCCTCCTACCTACTCCTTTCATCCTATACGCCTTCTGCTCATCTTCCACCCACACCCCTCTGGTATAGCTCTTCCTCTACCTCCTGCATTTCTTCTCTTCCCTCTCTTGCTTTAAAAAAATGGACAGAAATCACACAGAGAAAATGGCAGCACTCGTCTTGTTCGCTGTCACGTCTGCCATCTTCCTCAGCTCCCAGCTTTCTCTCCAGAGAACTGGTTTTTATTTAACGCTGCATCCAAAGGAGCCATGCTCAGTCTTCATATCTTGCCTGGGACGCCTTGCAGGGCGATTTTACTCTTCCTCCTTTTTGACAGAAGAAGTGGGCGTGTGACTGCGCTGATTCGAGTATCAAAACTGGCACAAGTTTTAAATCTTCTCCCCGCTTCTTGTCTTCCCGCAGCCCATCAGCAATGCAGACTTCATCGTCCCAGTGGAGATTGATGGCACTGTTCATCAGGTAATACTGGAAGACTTCCATACGTAGGCGTGAATTTAATAATGCTGCACCGTCCTTTTTAATTTGTTAGTCTTCCCATGGGAGCCTTGGCTCAGCTTTATTTCCTTCTGTATTTATTATTCCCTGTTATCTGACAGCTATTGTGTAATCAAAGTCATATTGTTCAAACAACTTTTGTCTTATCTTTTGTGGCCTTGCTTAGTGTAAATATATAAAGGTTGTTACATAACTGCATTGTTACGTATTTCCCAAAAACCTGTTGAAGACGGTGCTGAGATTACAGCAAAGGAAATTCTCTAATGAGTAGAAAAGCTACAAGTAAAAACTCTTTGTACCCTTTTTCTGTCAGATAAATATTTTTCGCCATTACAGTGGAAGTTGTTAAGTTATCATACCCCTGCCTGATCGTACTGTTCTGTAGCCTGGTTCAAGTAATCCAGGATAGGCTTTCTGCATCTGCTTTGGCCTGTCCTTGACTACTTGCGCTTGGAGGCAGCAACTAACCCGCCAGGACCTGCTGAGGTCAACAAAAAGCAACAGAGATGTTAATATGATTGCATCATGGGTTTTTTTTAATTCTGTGTATCTCTGTATCCTGATGCACAGCACCAAATCCAGGGGTTCCCAACACAGATCCTTGAGGAACGCTATCCTGCATGTTCTAGTTGTTTCTCTGCTCCAACACACCTGATTCAGTGATTTTATTACGTCATCAAGATCTACGGAAACCTGTTAGTCAACCATTGATTCAAAACAGGTGTGTCAAAGCAGGGAAACAACTAAAACATGCAGGATTGTGTTCCTGAAGGACCAGAGTTGGAAACCACTGACCTAGACTATTGCAGGTCATAACAGATATACAGATATTTAATCAGGAGAGTTAATAAGGTCACCACAAACAGCCTCAACAACTATTATGCTATTTTGATCTTTGTTTTATCTAACGATTAGAGGGAAAAATATCCAATTAGGAGTCACGTCTCAAGACTTTCTGTTTCACAACTGTGGGGTTCTGACCAATGGAAGCAGGAGATTTCAATCACAAGACCATTTGTCATCTTGTACTTACTGCATACTTGAAGGATTTGGGTTTGGCATTCATCATCAATGACATGCTACTTGGGTTGCTTCAAATGGAGTATCAGTTATTTGAGTATTATGCCAATGGCAAAGTGTTTTTGTTTTGGTTCACAAGAGAATAAATTACCTTGGTACCTGTTGTATTTGCAATGTTTATGATTATTGTCGGGCAGCATGGTGGCGCAACTGGTAGAGCTGCTGCCTCTCAGCAATCAAGTCCCTGGTTCAAATCCCGGTCCAGGGGCCTTTCTGGGTGGAGTTTGCATGTTCTTTCCGTGCATGTGTGGGTTTTCTCCAGGTACTCCGGTTTCCTCCCACAGACCAAAAACCTGCATGTTAGACTGATTGGTAACTCTAATTTGTCCCTAGGTGTGAATGAGAGAGTGAATGGCTGTCTCGTTTGTCTCTATGTGGCCCTGTGATGGACTTGCGACCCATCCAGGGTGTACCCCGCCCCTCGCACAGTGATTGTCAGACATGGGCACCTGCAACCCCCGTGACCCAAAATGGAATAAGCGGATAAAGATAATGGATGGATGGATGGATACCTCGTATTCGGGAAATAATTTTAAACATGCTTTAAAGTCTTTGTGTCGTATTCCAGGTGTACGTCTTAAAGAGACCCCATGTGGATGAATTCCTGCAGAAGATGGGCGAGTTGTTTGAATGTGTCCTCTTCACAGCCAGCTTAGCTAAGGTTAGCCAACAACTCAGCCATATCTATCACAGAAAGCCCTGCTGTTGTCACTTCATGAGTTTTTTTTTTTCTCCATTCAGTATGCTGACCCTGTGGCAGACCTGCTGGACCAGTGGGGGGTGTTTCGCGCTCGGCTCTTCAGGGAATCCTGTGTTTTTCACAGGGGAAACTACGTCAAAGACCTCAGCCGGCTGGGCCGAGAACTCAGTAAAGTAATCATAATCGACAACTCACCTGCCTCCTACATCTTCCACCCTGAGAATGCAGTAAGTCCTTCTTTCTTCTTTCATTATGTTAAGTTTATGACAAGTTCCACTCACGTTGTCATTTTGTTTACAGTAGTCCCTTGTTTATTGTGGGACTTTATTGCGCCCCTCCTCCCGCAGTAAGTGAAAATCCGCAAAGTAGCGACGTTATATTTATTTGAGTATTTATATACTGTATATTTTAAGGCTTTAGGAACCCTTCCCACACTCTTGCAGTGTTCTAATTTCTTAAACATACGTCATTTTAACAACATACATACAGTACTGTATATGTAGCTACTAAATTTTACTTACCAGGCTCTGCAGAACACAGCAACAGCTCTCGGTTCTGGTCCGCCTCTGTTCTGGTCCAACTAGGTTCCGTTTCTGCAGACCTAACCTGCAGCAACAAAAACCAAAATCATGCTCTAAACTCTTAAACCTACTAATTTTAACAACATACATGTATGTAGCTACTAAACTGTGCTGACTAGGCCCTGCAGAACAGGAGCAGCTCGGTTCCAGTCCGACTCGAGAAATTAAAAAAAAAGTCCCGGTGGGCTCTGGATGGAGCCCTGGACCTACGGCGGCGCGTCCCCGCTTTGAAGTCCTCGTGGGCCGGCTAGGGTCTCTTGGGTTCATCGCTGAATCTGTGGGTCCGGTTCTGGTCTGGTTCAGCGCAGCCCTGAGCACCAAAGAACATTTGGAGTGGCACAGAACTTCAGTTGGCCGATGCGGACCAGAGGTGGTCGAAAAAATCTGGATGAAAAAAGTCCAGATGGAGCCTCAGACCTACGGTGGTACGTCTCTACTTCCAAGTCCTTGTAGGCTGCTACCAGCTCTCAAGATTCACCCATGGATCTGAAGTTCCTGTTCTGCTCCGGTTCTGCTCCGGTTCTGCTCCGTTTTTGCTCCGGTTCTGTGTGGCTCTCTGCATCCGCCGGCAACTGAAGTCACTGTAATAAGCGCTAAACTTTTTCTGATCCGATCAAAACTTTCCCTCTAGTATTTCAGCAGAAGGAAACAGGGTTTCTGGGCGTGGCCTTGTTGGCTTCTGGGAAATGTAGTCATTATGAGTGGGAATACAGTGGAGGCTTACTGAGAGAAAACTACAAAATGGCAGCGCCTTTCCGAAGCGTTTCATTTTTTCATTAGCTTTTTACTGTACAGTACTGTATCCAGTACTGTCCCAATCACGTAAGGTGACAATCGTGTCTTGTACAATTTTTTGTGTACAACGTTTACAAAACGCGATAAAGCAAGTTTGCGAATTTCAAACCGCCAAGTAGCGAGGGACTACTGTATACCTTACACAATGATCCAAAACAGACTGATTTGTGATTTTTAATGAAGATAAACTTGTCTAAATTGTTATTTTTGGTGTTTCAGTCACAGCAGGTTTGATTTTGTTCCTCAGTAGAGGTTGCTCAGTGGAGCTGCTCTTCCTGCTCCTGATTCATTCATCCCCATTAAATATTTAAACAAAACTCACACCGTCTTCGCACACATAATGCATGACTTTAGTATCTATTTTTAGGCTGAATTTTTCCCCTTTCGCTCATAAAATCAAAGCTACTTTTTTCTTTTTTCCTCCTCAGGTTCCGGTGCAGTCGTGGTTTGACGACATGACGGACACAGAGCTGCTGGATCTGATCCCTCTATTTGAGGGTCTCAGTATGGAGGAGGACATTTACAATTCTTTACAGAGCCTGAGGAACAGGTAGCAGATGATTTCTCATGCCTTGAATCTGCTGAACAGGAGCCTCTGTATCCACATTTGGTCCTTGGTATGAACATTTACGACAAACTGGTACCACCCATCCACGGATCCACGAACTCTTTACTGACAAATATATTACTGTATGTACATAGTTGATGTTTCTAAAAGGAAAAATAAACATCAAATAATTTTTCTATCAGAAAAACAGTTTTAATATTCTATCAAGAAATATTTTAGTTACCAAAAACAATCACATTCATGGAGCAATTTGATCGTGTTTTTGTGTTCTTGCGTTGAGCAGTCTTACGCAGGCTGATGTTTCTGGTCTGAATATTGGTTCCAATACTGTGATTGACCTTTTCTTACAGAATGAAGTGCCTTCATTGCTGTACTGGTTTTGTTGTCGGGTTATGGGGTGCACATTTTTATTTTTTTGTATTCACTCCGATCTCCAGAATCCTGTCGTGTAAATCTTCAAACTGAAGTCAGAAACAAGCCCATTTTGGGAACTGAGAAAACCGAGACAAGTAATTTATAGAAACTTCTGAAAAGGTGGTTATAATATCTAGATGATTATATGGTTTTCAGTTTGGTAGCACTGAACTGTTGAATTTTACTGATTGTGTTCAATTCAATGTTTGACAGTGACTGTAAATTAAACACTGAAGCCCTATTTTACTTTTGCAAGAAGACGACTTCAATGTGTGTGATCACTGTCCCAACAGTAAGTGTTAAACTAATGAAAGTTGAAAAATATTCAAAAAGTCTAAAGATTAGCTTAGATTCTATTTATTGAGGAAAAAGGTTTTGGGTGCATTGTAAAGAAAGGCCGTTGGCGTTGTACTGTACAACATGATTAAAGTTGCAAGTTTGCACACTCTCCGTGTCTTCACAATGTCTTGACTTTAAATGTACGATTAAGAGTGAGTCAGAATATTAAGTAATGTGAAAAAATATATATTATAGGGATAAACTCATAGAAAATAATTACAGATGTAGTATGACATATCCTGAGATATATTCATACATTAAACGGGTTCTTCATTTTTCTGGACTGTATAACATACGTGCATTGAACTTAGATAAAATGTAACGTGAGACGTTATTTATCTTTGACCCATCAAAATGAATGTGGTCATTTATTTACAGAATCAAAGTTTAACATCAAACATTTACATTAATTTGGCAAAATATGAAAATAACAACATAATTAATCAGCTTTACAGGTAGTGAGAAACAATACGGCGATTGTTTCACTTTTCAGCAGAACAGCAGACATCAAATCTCACGGCGGTGGATGAGCACTTTACACAGACATTTCTAAAATATCTGGAATGATTTCTACTTGATAGAAGAATTTTTAAAGATGGAAAGATGAAGTTTAGTGGGAGTGAAAGATGGATGAGGGAGAATGTGGTGTGTATGAGTGAAAAGTGTTGACAGGACGACACCCTCCATCCGACCCAGCTTTCCTCGGTACGCTCAGTAGTGGACTAGACTCATTTACCTCTCTGACGATGAATCAGAAGAAGAGGAGCTCCAGTTAACGCTACCTTTCAGCGTCTCCGTAGGATGGCAGAGATACGTCCGGAGTGGTGACGGGACTTCGTCAACAACAGTTCACCTCAACGAGTGGACCTCACATGAGTGGGGTTCGTCCGAGTCCACTCAGAGGTGGAAGATGTTATAATCCCAAACTCGGAAGAGCCTTATCATGGCTGGACTTCTGTTCTCCCACACGACTGGAGCTGCAAACTCTCCAGCCCGACTCCAACGGCAACTCACAGAACAACGACTTCACAGAACTGCGAACATCTCAGAACTACGATCATCTCAGAACTGCCGCTTCACAGAACTGGCAGAACTAGGAAGTACCGACATTTTAAAGAGCTCTATTTCCGGTCCATTTGGGAGTCCCTGATTGGTCAATGTCGACCAGACAGGGGTGTGTTTTGTGATGTAAGGTGTTATGGAAAGTCAGAAACCAGCAAGAATGTTATGGAACAGATTGAAAATGTTTCCCAGACAGGCGAGAGAAATGTTTGGGTGAGTTTGGAGAAACAGGTGCCAACTTCTCTGTTTACGTCTGAGAGGATTTAAAAACAAGACAGTTGTTCCAACACTTGTCTGCTTCAACTCCTGACCTTGGAAAACGTACACTGCTCATTCAAAGACAGAAATCAGAAAATGCATAATTACTCTGTAACAGACCTTAACATGAATTCTAACTTTGCATAAGCAACTCAAAAATCATTGTTACTGTTTCACAGTTAATAAAATTGATTAGTTCACTGTAACATCTAAAATGTTTGAACTAAAACACTTTGATTATCAAACATTTGTAAAACAGTAATGATAATAGAAAAGAGAGTGTTCTTTCACTTGAATTTTCAAGAAAGAAAGTCTCAGGATGGGTGAACCTGTATTTCTGGATTCAAATCAATGAAATGACAGTTTCTGTCCCACAAGGTTCTTAAGGTCAAGGGTTTTGACCTTAGGCTTAGTTTTGACATCAGGTCAAGTTCACTACACAGACGTGAATTTCTAACACGTGTGCACTTCTTCACTCTTCACTTTAGATAAGAATCGTGCATAAATATGACATGATCCTTCAGAATTATTCTTAAGACGGTAATTATTCTGTTGTTTTAGTTCAAATTAGCCCACATTGTTAAAATGTATACCTGCAAATTCATTAAAATTAAGAAATAAATAATGTACTAGATGTTAAATCAACCCTAATGATCCTTCTTTTATTTATCATGGAGAACTCTAGTATAATTTCAGTTGCACCGGCTCTTTGTACACATACTGCATGTTGAGCTTGTGCATTTTAAAGCAACCATGGGTCTCAAACAGAAATGGGTGGAATGCCCCCCCCCCCCAAGGTCGGGAGGGGACTTTGCCTTATGTGTAGGAGTTCAAGTCTCTGAGCATCTTGTTCACGAGTGACGATAGGATGGTGCAACGGATTGGGGCCTCATCATCAGTAATGATTCAATTCAATTAAAAAAAACTTTATTCATCCCCAGGGGGCCAATTAAAAGAGGCACATAGAGCATACATAAAAGTAAATACAAGATAAAATACATAAATAGAAAGAAAGTGCATTATGCATTATCAAGGTGCAAATGGGCAATGAGGTAAGTTTTGCAACTGAAGCCATGTGGAATGGGGTGATGTATGTGTATAGGGTGTGAATGTAGAGGGGATCTCATTCAAATCAATCAATCAAGAATACTTTATTAATCCCAAAGGGAAATTATTTGTTGTTGTAACTCGTTATCCTCATTTCACTAAGAGATTTTATAATGTAGATGCTGATGGCTGTAGACAGGAAGGATCTCTTGTAAAGGTCCATCCCACAGTGGATCCTAAGAAACTGGCTGCAGATGCCGTCCGATCCGTCCACCCAGACTCGGCTGGCCTCTCAGTTCCTCCGGGCTGTAGGACCGCCCGAATGCCTGGCAGAACTCCTCCCAGAGCGATGGCCACTCCTCCCAGCAGTCTGCCGAGCTCCTTGTCGCTGCGGACAGCCAACTGTAGATGCCGAGGGATGATCCTGTCCTTCCGCTGTCATGAGCCGTGTTTCCTGCTAGTTCCAGGATCTCAGTGGTCAGGCACTTGAGCACAGCTGGCAGGTAGATGAGAATGCATCCACAGAACATCCTTTCGAGTCATTTGAGATTTGGGGCTGTAGTTGAGATATTATTTGAGCTTTTGAGATGTTAATCAGCTGCTGTTGGTTGTAGAAAACTGCCTAAGAAAAGTTTCAGTAAAAATCCTTCCAGCTGCACAACATCCGATACCAGAGGAAACAATCATCCAAAATATTGTGATTTACATCCAGAAAAAGAGGAATTAAAGTTTCCAAAAGCAAAATCTCAGAATGAAAGTAACAGAGCTGCTCCAACATGTAGCCACCTTGAGCGGCGCAATTCTAGAATCAGTACTGTATGTGTATGTATGAATATTAAGAAACAGGACTATTTGAGCTGGACAGACCTCTGCACAAAGATAGCTCTTCTCCTCTGTGTCCTGCAGGCAAGGCAGCGAAGCCAAGCGACCCCATGGAAGCCACACAAATGATGAGAAGAGGGCGTGTGACGAGTCCTGTTTGATCCGGTTCACTAACCTGCATGTTAAGTGTTCATAGACAACAATGGTTAATCTAATCATTTTAGAACAGACAATCTTCAGCAGGTGCATTCTGTTCGGATGGTAAAATGAAACCAGCAGGTGATGGAGAAGGTGACGATGCTCTCATTGAAGGAGTAGTTAAATGTCTGGAGAATGATCTTACTTACTCCAAAGGCTTCCTAAGGAGGTACTGCCTCTGGCGACACTTTCTGAGGAGCTCCTCCCTTGTTGGTGGAGACTTTCAGCAGACTGTCAAAGATGGTACCCAGGTATTTAGTCCTCAACAAGCCCAAGAAGCTCTCCATGGCTACAGGTGGTGACTACTGTGGCCAGCGCCCTCTGCTGATAAGGCCGTTGTTTCAGTGTGTCGTGAATAAAAAGGCAAAGTTCTCGATTTTCTGGTCTGTCTACGTTTCGACCCTCACCTATGGTCATGAGGTTTGGATCATGACCAAAAGAACAAGATCCCGGATACAAGCAGCTGAAATGGGCTTCCTTCGTAAGGTGGCCGGGTTCAGATTTAGAGATAGGGTGAGAAGCTCTGTCATCTCAGGGGGAGCTCAGAGTAGAGCTGCTGCTCTTCCCCATCTAAAGGAGTCGATTTAGGATGCCTCCTGGGCATGTCCCTGGTAGGAGGCCCCAGAAGTCACTGGAGAGGTGGTGTATCTTCTCTGGTCTAAGAATGCCTCAGGGTCCTCCAGAACGAGCTGGAAAGTGTTGCTGAGGACAGGAATGTCTTGATTTATCCCCTGGACCTGTTGCCTCCACGACCCGACTACCGATAAGCAGAAGAAGATAGATGGAAATAAGAATTTTTGGGTGTTCTGTGAAAAAGTTATGAACAATTAACATGCTACCTGTTGTGGATAACCCTTTGAGCAACCTCAATTTGAAGACAACAAAGTCTAATTCTGACTGGACCGACGAGCTAACGGCTAATCTGAGTGGGGCCAAGACCAAAGAGACTGTTGTGGTCTTCCTGCAGGAAGTGTTCCTGGCTGCACAAAAAGTGCACATGCTAGTTTCTGCTGATGTCATTTGATCTTAAAAATAACCACAGAAGTGTACACACACAGTGCAAAACTGATGACAGAAGAAAGAATCATTTGCTTTAACCGCTATAAAAAATTTGAGACTGAAATTGTTTGGAGATGAGCTGTCTTTTGAAGGAATGCATACCGGCACCTTTAAGGAGATCATTTTAATTCAAAATGGCCACCGCAGCCACATCCTTTGAGGATGGTTTGACGATGACTTTCAGCTACTTTCACGTGTAATTTTTGCTCAGTATCCATGAAATCAACCAAGTTTTAATGATTTTTGTATTGGCGAACGATTCTTAGCTGTGAGTCCAAAAACATTGCAAAAGTTATTTGACGTCTGCTGAAAGTTTCTTGTGCAGCTTAACAGCTTAACAGCTCTTATCACCGTTTGCATTCAAACTCATTCTGATCGTAAACCAGACACTTAACTGCATCCGGCTGGACTCTGCATGGGTTAGGTGATGTCTATGTGCGTTAATAACATGGTTATAAAATAGTTAATGTGCAACCCGGCAGAGCTCGGCTTCATGTGATATCTTGATTTGGACTTTTAGCTTTCACCTACGTAGCAGCAGCTTTAACTGCAGCGCTGGATTAGGCATTAGAGCGTATTGTTACAGCCCGGAGAAGTCTTGTTTCTCGTTATTTTTGTTCCACTTCAGCTACGAGGAGAATGCAGTTCAACGCATACAAGTTTTGTTAGATGTGATATTGATTCCAGGACTAAACTAAAACATAACTTGTCAAAAAGGTAAGAAAACCCTCTGTTTAATTCAAAGTGTTAGTTAAATTGGCTAAAATGACTTAATTATGCAATAGGTGAGCCGTAGATTCCCTGTAAAAGATTCTACAGCAGGGATGCATTTATTAGATATGTTTTTAATTCATTCAGACTGAGAATAAAATATTTGATCAAACTGGTTCCGTCTTTTATAGAAATCCCAGCAGGTCCACGAGGGGTAAAGGGGCTTAGATTGTACAAGTTTTCGAGAATTCTTCATTTTCCAAAAGCTTTAAATCATTCTGAGCTGCAAACAATTTGCATCTTTGGATAAAAAAAAAAATGTAACAACATCCACAAACCTCGTTGAATAGAGTTCAGAGGGACATAAAAGGTTCTGGTTTTAATAGTTCAGCCTGAATTCACCCCATTGCCGCGGTACCTGGCAGGTGGTGGGTGCAGGCGTGTTAACATTGTGGTCAAAGTAAATACGAGGACAGGAAGTTGCAGGTGTGTTCAGCCCTGGGTGTGGATGCAGATGCATCAACCCCTTTCTGACTCACACACTCACTGGAGGAGAGGCCAGCAGCACTTGATCATTACATTTTCTACAAGATAAATTCACTCGTCTGTCTTTGCTACGTGCAGGAGGCGTCCAGACGTTCATTTCGTCTTGCGGATAAAACAAGGTAAGAAACGTTTAAATTTACTTTAAATGTTTTCCCTGTCTGACAACTAAACAGAATAGCATCTTGTAATTGAAAAATGACTTTTTTTTAGTCAAACACCACCATCTTTAATATAACCTATATTTGGATATTAGAAATATTGGGATGCTTTCAGGGTGCAGCTCTGGAAAAGCTCATTGTGTGAGCGGAGTGAAAGGACAGACAGGAAACCAGTCCTACCAGTCTCAATAATGGGCGCAGAGTTGTTGTCCCCCTTTCATCAGCTATTTACTCACGTCATGAATGAGCTTGAACACAATCACGGACCAAAATGGTGTTTGTATTACTAATACTTTGACAAAAGTCCATTAAAATCAAATGAAAAACATAAAGATGACAAGAAAATATGAATAGCAGCTTCTCCATCAAAGCATCAGATAAAAATCTGATCTTTCTGAATCATTTCCTTAAGTCAAATTGTAATTGTTATAATAAAGCTTATATGTCAGGGTTATTCAACTGGTGGTCCGGGGGCCAAATCAGGCCCACAAGTGAACTCAGTTCGGCCCACCAATGGGTTATTTTTAAACTAAAACTAGGTTTTAAACCATAAAATAAACTTATTTAATGACAATAACTGCTGGATGTCCAGCCCTTGAGCCTTTGGTTTTCAGTAACTGTACCCCCCTGAGCAACTTAGTTGAATAGTCCTATTATATATGTATATTTTACAAGATATTATACGTTAGCCGGTTGTTTTTCCCAATAAATGCTGTTATTCTGGAAAAACTTAGATATTTAAATGCTGTAATTGTATTAACATATGTTAAGGACCCACCATGCACTCTTCCAAAATTTTATCTTTGTTTCTGTTTAGGGTTCACGTCATTGGTGCAAAAAAAGTGTTTTTATTTAAATAAAACTGTTAAAAATGAGAGAACAAAATCTGTTCTTCAAGCTGATCCAAAATAATTAAAAAGTTTATTTATAGGCATCTAAACTAAGCTTAACTTTTAACTAAAGTTACTGGAACAAACTGTGCCTTATATAAATATTAGTCTTTACAACTTCAAAACTAATTATTACTCAGTACTGAGTTGATAGATGAATTAAAAAAAACTGATTTATCTGAACACGGACAAGCTATATTAAAGTACTCATTAATATTTTTGGACAGTAAATATATAGTTTTAATAAACAGGAAAATAAAAAGCAGCAAATATAGTAAATATATATTTAAAAGTCATTCAGAAAGACTGTAAAATAGTCGATTAAAACCACTTTAAAACATCACAAAACTGTTTGGCTCCCTGACAGCACTTTATATTGGGCTTTGTTGACATATAAGCAATATATTATAAAAGTTTATACTTAACATCATGTCTAAATATTAATGAAAATCTGCACGATTTATTGTCCACGTGTCCCTCAGAGCCCCACCTTCAGTGATCTGATCACAGTTTTATCAGAAAATCAACAAAAAAACAAAACTAAAATGGACATTTTGTGCACATTTTTTCACTTTTTCAAGAGAAAATACTTAAATTGAAACTTCTTCCAGTATGATTCTCTTCATTATCTAATGAGCTAAGTCAGGAGTAGATTACAACATGAACAGGAGGAGAGTCACCTCTTTATCGGACTAATGAGCATCAGAACTCTGATAAAGAACAGGTGTGATTAGGATATATTGCATCACAGCTGATCTCAGTTCATCACCTGCAGATAAGTGAACCATGACCCAGGGCTGGGATACTTCTCTCAGAACCATATTTGACAGTGAGACCTGAGCTTTGTATTCATGGCGTGATGCAAGTAGCGTGACATCCCAGCGAGCCTGTTTTCCATTCAGCTGTATTCTCAGTGTTTGCTTATCAGCGCCGTTGTTTCTGAACTCTCAGTGGAGAGGCTCTTGACGCACAGCTGATGGAGAGACTTGTTTGCTCTGATGGCTCTGGGCCGACTTTCATTAGTGGAACCACTTTACTGTCAGATGTGAGATCCTTTGAAAAGGTTTCTCGAGTTACTTTGAAAAGATTTTGTCTCGGTGAAAAGATACAGTAGAGCGCTCACACTGATGAGAGAAGGGTCTTTTTTGTTTAATGAGCACTTTGAAGGAGTTTTAAGTCAAAATGTGGATGCCGATATAAAGTTTCTTTTTAGAGTTTTCAGTTTTTTTAGTTTTTATATGCTTTGCTGACTTTTGATGAACTTCTTTTTCAGTGATTTGTAAAATATAAATAAATCTTATGTCATAAGTTAATTCCTTTACTTAAAAAAAAATAAAATGCCTAAAAAGGTAAAGCTTTCATGTTATTTAAAGTTTTTACACGTACACTCCACAAAGCCTTGCACTTGCACATATTTTAGCCTTAGAATATACAAATTTTAAAACTTTATGTCTGAATACCTGAATCGTTTGGCTATTGTAAACCATGATCAAGTTCATCGTTTTAAATTTTTCATTTATGTATTTTTTTAGAGTACCCTTTGTTTATTATGCGTAAAGGGAGAACAACTCTGCATTGCTTTAGTCCTATAGCCTATCATCCTTTTTTTACACGTGAAAGGACAGTTTCTGTATTACCGTATTTTTCGGACTATAAGGAGCACCAGATTATAAGGTGCATTAAGCAAAATAAATTAATTTTTACATAATTTTGAGCACCGTATACCACATAAAATCGGATCGAGGTCAGTAAGCACAACCGGAATTAATACATAAGGCGCACTGTCGATTTTTGAGAAAATTCAAGGATTTTAAGTGCATCTTATAGTCCGAAAAATACGGTACTAAAATGTGATTTAAAGTCATTAACTTTAAGGACTTTAAATGACGTTAAACTGAAGAAATGTTTTTAATTAGTTTTCTAACGCATTTCAGTGTTCTGTATATCCATCGTACATTTCTTAATGATATGATAAGAATGAATAAAGTATAAATATAATGCACCTATGAATAGTAATCAGTGTAAAGAGAAGTGAAAAAAAAACTATAATTGTACGTGTTGTGATACGTGTGTTTGAATTTTTTTTATTAAAAATGTTTAATTGTCTAGTTATCATGTGAGGAAAATACAGTTGTCCCAGTACATTTTAAAATTTGTTTGTTTTAGTTTACAAAAATGCTGAGTGATAAGGAGAGAGACGCTTTTCGGAACGTCAGTCAAAAGCCGGGCTTGCAAATATGGACCATCAATGTAAGTCAGGCCTTTGTATACCATTTTTTTACTATAATGTGTACACTGTTATCATTTATGTAGAGTTTTGAGGGTTACAAGTTAAAATATTGTTGTGTAGATCTTTTTAACGTGAGTTATGTGGAAAGGCTATGCACAGTTATTATGTTACCTGCAGCAGACAGCTCTTTGAGGAACCTCAGTTTGGTGAACTTTGAACAGATTCTTGAACTATTGGCTACCTCAAGCAGATTATCTAAGCTGTATTTAGTTTGTTCTCAGTAGTCGGAAAATGATGAGTTTTAGTTGGACAAATCAACTGGAAATTTCCCCAAAGTAGGAATTCTGACTCGAAATGTGGGAGATTCTTCACCACTTCCAATCTCAGAATCCAATATGGCTGACTCGCACATGAGAAGTTATGAAAGCATCTGTAATAAACGTTTTATCTGAGCTTCTGTCAATGTGCTTCTAAGTACACGTCACACACATACAACAGCGCTGTTCTACCACTATTTGTGCGCTGGCAGCCATTCGTTTGAACGCACAGAGTGCAGAGAAATCCACTGTTATCAGCTCATATTGTTAACTGTTAGCCTGATCATTTAGCACAACTTTAAGTAAACCCGGCTGAGTTTCTGAATTACAACTACAGCATGGTTTAACAGCATCTGACGTAATTCCCAGACCAAAAATACAACTTCTAAGATAAATAAAATACACCATTAGATAAAAGGTTTTATAGCAGTTTATGTAAACCATCATTTATTAGCATTTACATCATCTGTTTTAAATTATAGGGTTATTTGTTGCAGAAATATTGTGAAATTCCTGCAGCAGCTCGCTCCTGCAACAATTTGTCTTTTCTATCACGAGAACCTCAGAACTATTACAGTCACGTCAACCTCTTTTGGGGAAAAAAAGTTTTTTTTAGATGGCCGCAATTTATTTTGGTTATGACCAGGCTTAGATTAGGTGTTAGCATGTCAGTCCAGTCAGAAATCAACTTTATTTCTCTAAACTGAGGTTGTTCTACATCAGGTAAAAAAAAGTCACAGCCTTTCCACAGATCCTCACCCCTAAAGATGCGAACTCTCCTCTCAGATATTGCTGTTTTCTTTATTTAGAAAATGCAAATGGTTTCCGTTCCATCCAGAGCCTTTGGTAACTTCTTCGAAGGAGACTGTTACATTGTTCTAAACGTGAGTTCAGTACTGGCTGATTTCTTAAGAGTCTGTTTGATGAAGTATGTGCACCAGTATGAAACTTGTCTCGTCATTTTATGGCCAGATAAGTAAGAATCAGGGCTCGGGGGAGTCCATTGACATCCACTACTGGATAGGTAACTCCTCGTCTCAGGATGAGCAAGCTGCTGCAGCCATCTACATCACCCAGCTGGACGAGTATCTGGGTGGGAACCCAGTGCAGCACAGAGAAATGCAGAGCTTCGAATCACCACAGTTCAGGAGCTACTTTAAATCTGGCCTGATGTGAGTAAAAAATAAGAAAAATCCCACAAACATTTTGTAATCTTCCCCAGACTGGGTTTAACAGTGCTAATCCTGATTATGACACAACCTATATTTGTTGCTTTGAGGATTAGCAGAGCAAAACACAATGTTCTCCAGCCCAGTTCATTAACTTTCCAATTTTTAGCGCATGTATTTGAGCGCTGTGATCGTATGAGTTTTAATCTTTACTGTTCGTCCAGCTTTTATTGCATCTGAACTTTGGTCGTGCGCGCTAATCTCTCCACAGCTACAAGAAGGGTGGCGTGGCCTCGGGTTTCAACCATGTTGACACGAACGTCTACAATGTCCGACGACTGCTGCAGGTTAAAGGGAGGAAGCATGTCATGGCAACAGAGGTTTGTAGAATGGAGGATTCCTGGCTGTAAGAAGGTTTACAACAAATTACAGCGTGTTTGTTGTCACAGTGGGTGTTAAATGTCTGAGGTGGTGTGGTGTTTAACAGGGATTAGAGCAGCATACTGTATAGTTTTCATTCCAGGTAAATGCTTGTGTGTTTGCTTGCAGGTTGAGGTGTCATGGAACAGCTTTAACAATGGCGACGTCTTTCTCCTGGACATCGGGAAAACGATTGTGCAGTGGAACGGCCCTGAGAGCAACCGGAGAGAGAGCCTCAAGGTAATCCTCCACACCAAGAGACAGCAGAGTCACCGAAAAGCAAAACAATAAAGAGAAAAATAAAATAAAAATTAAGGTCACAAATTCAGAAATTACAGAATCAGAATAAACTTTATAATCATTGCATTGAGATGCAACAAGAACGTGTACATAGAGCTGTACGAAAGATGGACGGAGTGCACGAAGCTGCTGCTATAAACGCGGCCTTCTTATTCAGAATAATACTTTTAGGCTTAGATGAGAAAAGAGGAAGAAAACATGAGGATAGAGGGTATAAAAATATATCTCTCACACCATGTCCTAGACAGGGCATGGTTTGAGGCATCAAAAAAAACCTAGCACAGCAAAGCAACATAAAAAGACATAATACATATAGGGCTGGTGAAGGCATAGAGTTTTAAGGGATGATGAACCAACCAAGAAATAATCAGATAAAATTTATAGACAAACAAATAAACAAACAAACTAACTAACTAACCACTGAAAAACAAACATGTTCTAAAACTAAACAAACCAACAGACAAACAAAAGATGAAACAAATGAATGCATCAACGAGTTTAAAAAATGAAGAAAAAAATGTACCAGCCAACAAACAAACTAAATGGGATTAACCTGCATTAATAAAGGTTAAATGAATAAATTACAAAAAAAAACTACAAAAAACAACAACAAGACAATCAACAAAGGAATGAACAGACAAACATTCAAACCAATAAATGAACCATATTATCAACTATTATTAACAACTATTAACGATTATTAAATATTAACTATTAACATATATTAACAATGTTTAACAACAGTTAACTATTATAAACTATTAACTATTAACATATATTAACTATAATCAACTATTAACTATTATCACCTATTAACAATATTAACTATTATCATCTATTATTAACAACTATTAACTATTATCAACTATTAACTATTAACAT